TTTTAGACTCATTTTTTAATTTCGCTGATTACAGCGCCATCTGTCATAAAAAAAATGTTTGTAATAGGTAAAATTTATGTAACTTTTTCTGATGAAGCGAAATCTGCAATAAAAAATGGGGGTTCCCATTTAAAATTTTAAACTTACCCTCTCTTTCACCCACAGAAAGCTATCTTTTGACATCTAACATGACCCCCCACCACACAGCGGGTGGGGTCATGTTAGATGTCAAAAGATAGCTTTTTTGAAAACATTGAATACGTATATTTTCAGATTTCTGATCCGATGTGTATTTCTCGAGATAGTCGACCGTTTCCACACTTTTCGGACACCCTGTATATATTTAGCACGCTGGATCAGTGTAGAGTCCTAGATTTATCAGAGAGACGCAACGGGCTTAAGTCAGTACGACAAAGGTGCTAAGGAGAGTACTAAACATGGCCGACATGCTATGAAACTGCCTTTAAACTATGTCAAACACGATAAGACGTGTAGGATAATGTGAAATAGAATGTATTGGATAAAATGAGATAGAAATATGTCACTAGTACTATAAATGGCTGCCAAGTCACGCAATTGGTCAGATTGCAACAGCGAATCAGAATGCATAACATCGGTTGCGCCTCTCTGATAAATCTAGGACTCAATGACAGTGTTGTTAGGTATGCCGCCTTTTTAGCGCATGCGTACTACAGTTCTAGTGAGTTTTAGAGAAATCCAGTAATGTAAAGGATGAAAAGCGCGGGGCCGCGGGCTAAACTGTTCGTGGTTACGCGCGAGAATTGGAGAAAAGGCATATACATTATATATAATTTATTTCGCGAAAACAAAGAATCGAGAAGCACTAGACAAGTAAAATGTAATATGTAGAAGATAAGTATAGATTTGGCGAGATTTGGCAATATATATAAGTTAAGTAATCTACACTGTGAATCACATATTGCCAAATCCCGCCAAATTTATACTTATCTTCTACATATTATATCTTATTTCGCGAAATAAATTAAATATAATGTATATGCCTTTTCTCTGATTCTCGCGCGTAACCACGAACAGTTTAGCCCGCAGCCCCGGCATCCGCTATTTCCATCCTTTACATTACTGGATTTCTCTAGAAGTCATTAGTACTGTAGTGCGCATGCGCTAAAAAGGCGGCATACCTAACAACACTGGATGTTCCCAGCAAAGACATAGAGAATGGACTGCGCGATCCGTATCTAAGTAGTGTATCAAATGTGGTCGACAATAATTACTACGTTTACACGGCACGCTTTACGCCGAAGTTATAACATCGATGTTATGTAACTGTCCAATCACAGTCATTCCATTCTTCAGAGGAATAACTATGATTGGCCAGTTTCATAACATCGATGTTATAACTTCGGCGTAAATCGAGCCGTGTAAACGTAGTCAATAAGAGAGAGGGACCGTGGGAGACGGCCAGGGTTGGGCAATTTAGAGCTGCGAATAGTTTCTTACGTATAATACGTATGTATAATACGTATGTATAATACGTATGTATAATACGTATAATACATATAAAACATATAAAACGTACGTATAATACGTATAACATACGGTATTATACGGTATAAAAACCATGTATAATACGTTATGTTTAATACATACCCAACCCTGGAGACGGCCAATCTCCCTCTCATTCTCTCTTCCATTACACCATTGAATGGAAAGAGATAAAAATGGCCGTCTGCCACGGTCCCTTCTCTCATCCCTATCGACCATTTTGACACACGGATCACGCAGTCCATTTTCTATAGGCCGCAGCACAGACTTTTGCATAACGTATAAGGCATAGTGCATAAGCGAATCAACCAATCAGAGTCCCTTATTTTTATCCCCATTTCTCGTTCTGTAGATCTTGCATAGCGCATAAAGCATAAAGCTGGAAACACAACAGACACAGGCAATAGGCACAGGCAACAAGGAATAACGAGCCGTCCAATCAGAGCTCTGGGATTGTCACGTCCGCAACAGCCTCAAAATTTCTTTTTCGAACAGACTTACTAATAGTCCGAGTGGCACACACGGGCATTGCTAAAGAACGTACCTGACGCTTCTCCCCATACCCACCAACGGCACGGTCAATGAAAGGGGGCCTTAGGGACGCCCATGGAGAAAATCTAGAGAGATTGCAGAGTGTACCCGCGCGCGATATACAGGGTGTTTGAAAATTATCGGCTAATCGATCACGAGCAGGTAGAACGGACCGAATTGAATCGAAAAATCTTATACCATTTTGTAGGTTGCGCAATAGTTAACGAGATATTAACGTTTAAAGATAGCTGAATAAGCGCGTCCGGCCGGCCTACTGCTGCCGAATATACAACCTACCGTCCTCATCGATCGCACGGTCCTCATCGAGCCGCTGGGAGTGGGAACTACCACTAAACGTCTTCAAACGACTCGAATGGCACGCCTAGCAGGCCATCCCCACTCTCAGCGGCCCGCGCGCCGTGCGATCGGTGGTGACGGTAGGTTGTATATTCGGCAGCAGTAGGCCGGCCGGACGCGCTTATTCAGCTATCTTTAAACGTTAATATCTCGTTAACTATTGCGCAACCTACAAAATGGTATAAGATTTTTCGATTCAATTCGGTCCGTTCTACCTGCTCGTAATCGATTAACCGATAATTTTCAAACACCCTGTAGAACGAACACGCGCCAAGTCCGTCTCCTCCATTTCGCCCGACCAATCACCGTGCCTATCTCTAAACGTCTCGCGCGAAACACAATCCTCAATTCTAATTCTAACTTTAAATTTAAGATAAAGCTATTCAAGTGCTGAATTAATTGTAGCCATTAAATATTGTAACCACTAATATTAAATATATATATATTTAAGCAATCTGATTGAGTGCGTGGTTCCTGACAATCTCACCTTCTCGCCTACATTTTAATATCATCGATATCAACGGAGGGTCGAAACCATCGGCTCATCAACGCATTGGACCAGGAAGAGAAGCTTTCTCCTTCAACCACTCCCCTTCTTGGAATCGCATAGGGAGCACCAACGGACACTTGGCGGGAGATCACCAGGTACGTAATTCCCTTTATTTTCCGCCAATCAAACTCGTCAACGGTGAGCTGCGTATAGCACGTGTCCCGTGCACCCGCGAGCGCGCGCCTTGATAGACGCTCAAATACTTGCAATCCATCCGTACTCCACGTGGTGGAATAGCGCATATTGTGTCTCCACATTATTTTTCCAACATAAGGAAAACTGCACTATCAAATGCCCCGAATGCTACACTTCCGCGCCGGCGCATGAAAAAGAGAACTATCAGGGAGTTTTACGGCACTATATTCATTTAGGGCTCGCCAAAAGATTCGAGTCTTGCAGCGTATGCTCGGTATTGACCGTTACCTTGCACGTCCTCGCGAGGTGCCCTGATTGTCCTGAGATATTAATCAGATTTATCGCTTATTTAGAAGGGACGGGAGAAAGGCCGTGGATCGAAACGGAACCAATCATAATCGCGATATCTAGAGCTCGGCTGTAGCCAATCAGTTGGCTGGAGAAATTCCATCGCGGAAATTTTATCGCTCAAATCGCGAATTAAACATCCCACCATAGCCTCAGGATAGCGCCGATACCGGAAGCCGGCCGGAGCCCCCTCGAGACGTAACAGAATATAATATCGAACTTATACCCCAAAGCTCTGATTGGACGGCTCGTTATTCCCTGTTGCCTGTGCCTATTGCCTGTGTCTATTGTGTTTCCAGCTTAAGACACAAGACGTCGAAAAATCCGTAAAGACGAACTTTTTATGCTATGCACACATCTTAAGTAGCAGGAATACGAAGAATGCTTTCATTCTAGCCTATTCTAACCTCGAAACGTGATAGATAAGTACGTTTAGACAGATATTCCCAGATAGGAATATGACGTATTTGTCATTATTTACAAAATTATATAATATAATATTGTATAATTATATAATATTATCTTATTTCCAATTGAGACATTCCAAATGGTACAAGCTTATGTACAAGCTTGTGCGTTGCTACACGTTACGCTATGCGTTACAGGCCTTCTACAATAAGCCATAGGTCATTACTCACATGACATTAGTGTTAAGTCAGAATCATAAGTCATAAATCTTAAGGAATTTGCATCCACAATAAGTCGTATTAGATCGTTGCATCATAACAATTCAACCAATCAAAAAGATGGCAGTTCTCAGGATAGACGACAAGACTATATGCAAAGACTATGTGAAAACATTTGCACATTCTATATTCATACTGCTTTTATTAGTGTTAGAAGATATGAATTTACTTCTACCGGAAAAGATGATATTTAAAAAACAGAAAGTTAACGCAGAATTATACACAAAACAATTTTCCTACATATTTTTATGAAGACAATATTTTATATTTTTTACTTTAGTCCTTTATTGAGCAAAGATGATTAATAAGAAATGATAACTCGATTCGAAGTTTGTATCATTCATTCCATTATACTAATTTATGGTGATATAGAAAACAAATATTTATTTCTTATTTTTAAAATAATTTATTCGGCTTAAATATTTATTTGAATGTATAAAGTTTTCCGTATACTTCAGCCAATACACAATCAATTACAATTCGATGTTATTAATCTCAATATTAAGATAATAGGCTTATGAGATAAGTATTTATTTCAAATCTGTATTCACAAACATACACTAACAAGTAATATTACGCACAGTATTGCAACATTTGTGAAACACATGAGAAAATAAGTAAAATAGAAAATTATTTATTCTACAGATATTGCAAAGATATATACTTTTCTCAAAGAAACACACACATACTTTATCCAAACACGTAACGTAAAAGTTGATTTCTGTCAAGGACATGTTTTACTTCCTTCTCGTATGCATAGGGGTATTTATTTTAAAAATATACTTTTTTTATTTTATTACATATTACAACATACAATTAAAATGAGAGAGGAAAAGGATATTTGTGTATGTTTCTTTGTGAGTTCCTCAAAAATTTTTCTGTTAAACTACTTTAATTCACATATTTTCGAATTATATATAACGTATTGTATATCACAGGAGATAATACATATAATAAAGCCACTCACAGCACATTTTCAACATTTAACATATAAAGTAATATGACACTTTACTCGATATCTCTCATCCATATATGATTTACATAAAAAAACAATCCTTTGCACAAATGCAAATTACATTAATAATACGTAACATAATTAGTAGTATTGACGATTATATGTGTGTGATACATAACATTTTTAAAAACAAATAAAAAAACCCTTATAAAAAGGACGGATATCATCGCATATAATAAAATTGTAATGAGCAATGACTAGAGATATTCTCTCACAAAACTGTTGTAATGAGCAATGATTAAAGAATAATATTTTTTTTAATCATTATTCCGTAATCCTTGCTCTTTATATCTGTTAATTACATCCAATACGTCAAGTATACAATTAAATCTTATATCGGATTTAACTTGTTTCAAACCAACATATGCACATTTTAACATGTCGGATATATCTTTATCAATATCATCACTTTCAAAAACATGTGTTTTTGATGCAGCTTTTTCTACAGCTTTTTGTAAAATAATATTTTCAACAGTGTTTGCCATTTTCTCCAGCGACTGAGTACTTGTACGCATATAATTATCGATATCTGCTTTTTTTTTCTTATAAAAATTATCTGGTTCTGGTACTACTACATTTTTGTTTTTCTTCTGCTTGTATTTTTCCATTGTGCCAATTTTATTAAAGAGCAACTGTTTTGATGACATTTTATTCAATATTGCATGCGCCGTAGAGGAGAAAGGGACACGATCTTCTGTGTGATATTTGCACATCTCATTCTTTCCTTGTGATGATTGTTGTAGCAAATTCTCATCTAAAAAATAAGTGGAAAGTGACCCATAAGAATCATTTAAGATGAGTGACACCCTGGTTATCCTGATTGCACATGATCAAACTATATATAAGCATATGATTGTTGCACTAGGGATCTTGAAATCATTTATTCAGATCACAGATTACAGATAGTGCAGCTAGGACGTTTTCCTTAAGAACTAATTTCTAGAAACTAGGAAGAAGTACTAATAAGAACAATTTTATAACATAATACATACCATTATCCAAAGGCGAGTCTACATCAAGCTGTACAATATCAAAATCAGTATCCTGGCTGTCCTGAGTAGATAAATTGTCTACAACTATAGATAACGGTTTATCTATGATTTGCGATTCACTCGATTCATCATTGGAAATACATGACACAGATCGCTTCATGTTTGATTTGGTTCTGATAACAAAAAACAATTGAAGGATATTTATATACATACTGTATATATATACAGGGTGAGGAAAAAATATGGAAACCCTGAAAAATCTCAAAAAATATAAGTTTTACAGAAAAATGTTTTAAATAAAAGTTGTAGGATTCAAAAAAGTCTATTCAATAGCTTCATCAGTTTGATCCTGACTGGCGTCGTTGAGGTCAAGTCAAAGTCACGTTGAATTTTTTAAATAGAACACCCTATTTTTTATTACATATTCTCATAGCACATCTCGAGAGCTTTCCAAAACACTATAATTAAGTTCATTTTCGTCAAGTACTTTTTGAGTTATAAAACTTGAAGGTTACAGTACCTCCGGCATTAACATTATCCAAGGTGTCCGACCGGCGGCTAATGTTTTGAATGTTGTTCAGGATTACATCTGGGTAACATTTGTCAAGATCAAAGCATCATTGGTGATTATTTTATTTTCTTATTTTCATTTTTACGTAAAAATGAATTTTTAGTGCAAAAATGAAAATAAGAGGAATACTCACCAATGACCTTGATCTTGATAAATGTTATCCAGTACATGATCCTGAACAACATTCAAGAGGTTTTAGTCGTCGGTTGGACAGCTTGCGTAATGCTAATGCCGGAGGTACTGTAACCTTTAAGTGATTCGTAAGGGTTAAATAGAGGTCAAATTAACCTAGGCGATATTATTACAGATAATCGAGAGTATTAGCGTTGTCTTGAAAGATAATCCACAGATTTAGTTCAGGTAAGGTTGTGACCGGATTAATGCCTCTATTTTTAAAATATCCGTGTATTCTATTATTTAATTAATTAATCAATTCAAATGCACCAAAAGTGACTTACTATTTTGGTCGCCACTCTGTTTATTCTCCAACAGAGAAGGTAATCGTCTCGGTTGTCCCAAGGTATCGGCCTTTGTTCACTCGGAAGTTCCTGATTGGATTCCTTCCTTCCGTTCTTCGCGCGGATTGGCCGTTGAGCTGAGATGATCGTGTCTTCGGTTGCCGTCTCGTTGCGTCGCGGTGATTGCTTATTTTTAATGTGAGGAGTGGTAAAACTTCGCAAATAACTTGGAAAAGGCCGTTTGTGTAACACTATTATAGAATTTATTAAACACAACACGTATAATTAATTAATTAGGCCTTCGCATTCACTCTCTCATTCACTCGCGTATTTTCTCTTTATTCGACACTCTCTCGCTCTCTCTAACTCTATTACGTTGTCGCGTCGAGTTGCACTCACGACTCTTTGTGTCGGATGTTCAAGATGGCCGCTCTATAAGATGACGCGATGTTGCATCATCCACCTAGCAACAACGTTTTTCCGTATTAAATGCTCGTTAAATTCGCGTTTACCGTACGCGTTTGTATTACGGGAGACGAGCTATTATCGTTTTGAAACGATTTACGACGCATTTTTGTCGATTTCCGTGACTTCGCGGTTATATCGGAATTATCTCCGTATTTCGCGATTTTCCGCACTAATTCGCGTTTCGCGTTAACATATATGCGTTCGGACACGATGCGGTATGACGAGGATACTGGTTTTGCACCGATTTACCATATTACGCAATTTCTTTGTGAGCCGCGTTCGTTAAGACGTTCGTCTCGTTCGGCTGCCTGTTGGTGACTGATTTGCAAGATGGCTGTCGCCACTGCCAAGATGGCCACGAAGAAACGGTGCGTTCCATTTCCCCTGGTCGGTTCGGTGTTCCCGAATTTAGTTCTTTTCTGGTAATACATTCGCACTGGCCTTACAAGGTTAATAATATGCTAAATAATTCGGAGATGACCTCCTTAACACAAAATAATTATAGACTTTCGCTTTTGTTAAACAATTACTGTGAATAAATAAACTTTTGAGTTGGACAATTTCGGCAACTAGTCCAAATGTGAAAAATAATTCTTACGACTGCAAATAATTCTGAAATAATTCAAGGTGACTCTAAATAATGTGTTTTTTATGAGATAATTAATCTTTTTGCCGAAATAATTCAAACAATAGTCCATTTACAAAATCTTGAGATGCGAGTGTGGATTCACCCTTAATAATTACTGGGTGAATAGTGTTTTACACTTCTAAATAATTCTAAATAATTGTAAATAATTCTCAATCATTCCGATTAATTCCGAAATGGCTACTTCTGCCTGAAATAATTCAAAATACTCGAAACAATAACTTCGCATGTTAAGTTTTAGGTCCTTGTGTAGGCTTTAACGTAACTTAATGTTATCTTGCTTTAACTAGAACATCGTTGTGGAAATAATTTGAATAAATAATTTTGACTGTAAATAACTTGGAAATGATATCAAATAATTAATTAAATGGGTTTTTCACCAGGTTTCATAGTTTAAATAATTTTGTGAGTCTATCTTCGTCACTCTACTGGAAATAATGCATTGTCTTTCTCTAACATGTGTGAGATGTTCTAATTAATTCTAGGTGCTTGAAATAATTATAGAATGCTTGAAATAATTCGGCTAACATGCCTTTGTAACGAAATAATTAAAATAACGTGGTTTACAAACCTTTTTCGTGTTTAATCGCTCTTTGGCGTTTGTTAATAATCTTTTCTTTTTTAGGGTCTCCAAATCCATCTCAGGTTACTTTTATGGGTAAGTATCTTTAATATCATTAATTTTGTCTCTAGTTTCACATATTCTTTTTATCTAATTTATCTTTTATGTTTTAGGTTATCACTCTGGATTGGATTGGATCGCCTTTTCGGTACCTGTGTTCTGTAGGATATTCAGGTAGGTTGAACTTTGTTAAATAATTGTATAGAATATATAAAACGTTTATTACGGTATAATTAATTATGTGTGATAAATATAATGACTTTTTAGTCTTCGAAATAATAAAACATAAAATGTATTTTTGAAATCGTGTTTCTTTTATAATATCGCAACTTGTGTGCGTCGTGACCTTTCACAAACATAAATGAGTAATAAAATGCTAAAGTAGCGTAAACAAATAAAATAATAAAATTAGTCAGTGCCGCGTTATCTAATAGTTTCGATGCGGTCTTGTTGTGGTCCTCCGGATCCATGGTTCTTTGGATGATCTCCTTGTCATCCTTCGTAGCTATTTGCAGGTTTTCTTGAGGAAACTCCTTCCTCGCTGCTGCTGTGGTGGTTTGTGATGTGGTCATCATTTGCGTATCTTTCTGGAATTAGTTGCGCCTTTTTATAATTATTCTGCGGACTCTGGAAAATTGCGGGCGATCGCAAGGTCAAGGCTATCTGATTACCTTTTTAATGTTGACCTTGTGATCACGTTTCAAGGTCATTTCATGGTCATATCAGGGTCAATTTTAAAAAATGAAATTTGTACTTTTTTAAGCCAGAATCCTTCTTTTAACGGTACCCAGGAACAACGACGGCATCACCAATGATGCTTTGATCTTGACAAATGTTACCCAGATGATAATCCTGAACAACATTCAAAACATTAGCCGCCGGTCGGCTTGGATAATGTTAATGCCGGAGGTACTGTAACCTTCAAGTCTTATAACTCAAAAAGTACTTCACGAAAATGAACTTAATTATAGTGTTTTGGAAAGCTCTCGAGATGTGCTATGAGAATATGCAATAAAAAATAGGGTGTTCCATTTAAAAAATTCAACGTGACTTTGACTTGACTTCAACGACGCCAGTCAGGATCAAACTGATGAGACTATTGAATAGACTTTTTTTAAATCCTACAACTTTTATTTGAAACATTTTTCTGTAAAACTTATATATTTTGAGATTTTTTAGGGTTTCCATATTTTTTCCTCACCCTGTATATATACATACATACACACAAACACATACATACATGCATGTATACATATGTATATATGCATGTATATGTGTGTATGTATATAGACATAAATATATATATATACATTGTGACGTGACATTTTGTCCGTCACTGTGCGGACCTGTCGACGGCGGACTCGCGCTTCCTACCGGCTC